ATTTTATGATTTGGAGCAGATTTTCAGGAAGTGAGTGGTAGTTTAGAAAATAAATATTTACATTCTTATGGAGTCCGGATTTGAATTAAATTTCAATGTCAAAATTGTTTTAATTTTGAGACTGAAATTTAATTTCTCTAAATTTCATGAAATTAAGTGGCTGGTGGGGAGGAAGTAATATATTAAAAAAAAAAAATTTTTACCAAGATTTTCTGAAAAAATTTCGAAAACAATTTTATTCATTTATGAATAAGTCCTAAAAATTTTATTAAAATCCAACAATTATTTGATTTTTTGCAAGAATTTCCAAATCAGTGCATTTTTTTTTCACCTGAAAAAGGTGCTAAAACACTCTAATCATAAATATTACATAGACTGCTGACATAAAAAAAATATTTTTAATCAAAATTTTGAACGTGTTAGAAATGATTAAAAAATCTAATAATAGAATCAAAAATACTTTGTCTTTCTTTTAAATGACGACAAGCATTTTGAAGATAAAACTTTGTTCGTATTAAGTTTGAAATTTTTTTCATCATTTTGTGGAGGTGAAAAAAGTAAGGATCCAGTTTATCATTAAGCTTACTTTAATTTACATTATGAAGTAGCCTCTTCCTGGAAAATGAAAAAAAATTGCAAGGAAATGTCATATTCTCACAAAGTACCTAAAAAAATACACAGGGCTGGTACATACCCCCCCCCCCCAATATCACGATTGGGGGGTGATTGGAGGTCCCCAAGTGGTACTTTGTGAGCCTTGCTATCTATCAACATTAGCTTTTGTCTACCAACATTCATATACGTTACAAATTAAACTAGACACAACTGAATATTAAAAGCTGAAAAAATTTTGTGGATTTTGACACGATTCTGTTTTTTTTTTTTTTGTCCAAATCTGTAAATTTGTTTTTTGCTCATGTTAAATCTAAAAAAAAAAACCCCAAAAAACACTAAAATTCATTATTTCTTATCCATAATGTTGAATATGTTAAAATTATTCAACTTTTTAATAAGAAAAATCTCAAGTTAATGTCAAAAATTGCCATAAAAAATTGTTGATATATTTAAGATGGAATGATTATGACATGTGTCTAATCTGTATTTAGATACATTGTATATATTTTCAATTTTTCTTGTTGAATTGTTCACCTATATTGCATATGATCCATTATTGTACATAATTAGGTTACAATAAAATTTTATTTTATATGAATACTACTTTATAAAAATTGAGATGTGTTGGTGGTTCTATATCATAGATTCAGTGGGGGCCCATAAGACACTTGCACTGGCCCTGAATATATGCACACTCTTATTTGATATTTGTGTGTACATTGCAGTTAGATTTTTTTCTGATTCATTGTGCATGTTTTCTGGATGAAAACAAAATAACAAATGTCATTTTCTGTGCATTAAGCTCTACACATCACATCTGGTCTACAAAGCATGTTCCAGCAATGGCCAATCGTGAATGTTCTCACCAGAAAAGAGATGCCCCTGGGGACTACCAGACCCACTTAAAAGCAGGTCTCTGAGAATGACCAGTGCAGTTGCAGCCTGGCATGCCACCAGCTGTCACACAGGTCGCTGCTGCTGCCACCACGCTACCACCGTCATTGCTGCTGTGACCATCATCACCAACTCTCAACCTGACTTCACCTCTCAACAACTGTTACCACTCCCAGGCTTGACTAACCACCTTGACTATCCAGCTTCATATTGATAACATCTTGACCTTGTCACCTTGGCAAATACCAATCATGAGCAGCAAACTATCCATCTTCAACACCACCCAGCTATAAGCCTTCATCGCCGATGATGCTGTCACCTCTGCAAATACTGACATGTCAACATCTCGACTTCAATTCTGCACAGCTAGAAGCCTTCATTGTCAATGACACTGTCACCTCAGCAAATACCAACATAACATCTCAACTTTGACTCCTAATGCTTGTACGCTCTGCATTGGCAAAGTCAGATACATGACTTCTCCTGACCCCTAATGCTTGTATCCTACACATCAGCAAAGCCAGATTCATGACTTCTCCTTAACATTCACAACACCTCAGAAACCCACTGCCATCACCTTGGCATAACCAACATGTACGAGGCATTCCTTTGCAGGTATCACTGTGGCCCTTTTCAACAGAACAGGCTTACCAACTATGCCAATCCAACATCACCCTCATTCCATAGAACAGGCCTACCAACCAACAAAAATGGCCTACCACCATGACCTTGATCAACTAACACACACCAACCATACCCTGTGACCTCACACTAAACCCACACAAGACTTAGGTCAACTCCTGGTACTACACTACCTTTACACCTGACCACCATCCTGATGTTCTGCCACTGAAATGGACATTCCATTCATCCTTCAACATCTCTGTACGGCACGCTAACAATAATCATTGTTCAAATCTAATCCTTGTTATTCCTTTCTCTCACTTATAAACGCTTACCATAACAATCTGTATTATATTTTATACTACCAATTAGATGTGTATATTTGTATTTAAACTATAGTTATATATTTGTATTTGGAGATATGTAAATGTGTATATATATATATATATATATATATATATATATATATATATATCGTCATCATCGGCATCCATCCGTCTCAAGAGACGATGGAGTAGCGCAGTGTGCTATGTGCCTGGTGGGATATATGGAGAACTAGGGCTGCCCAGACATCTAGTTCCCCCTCTTGGCCTTGATAGTAGAGTCCAACCAATACAGTTTGGTACCAGTGCGGCTGCAGGAGTTGCCAGAAGGTAGCACAAAAGTGCCGTCCATCCGCCTTAGTGGCTCCACTCCAGGTTTGAATTCAGTGTTGTCCTTCTCCTAGACCAGTTGCCATCCAAGGCTATAGAACCCAGTCTGTCCTGCTATTTACCCATAGCTGGAGGGAGAAGAAGAGGATCAAGCACCTTTCCCAAGGGTATTAGCACGTAAGTGAATGTAATGGATTCGACTGCAATTCAAACTCAGCTCTGTTGTATGTCATTACACTATCCAAATAGTTGAATTTCCATACTTGTTTAATTTTAATATCTCCAGTGTGTAATTGAAATTTTGGAATGTTCCTATTTCTCACCATGAAACATTTCATCTTCTAGGAGACACGGTGGAGTAATGGATATTGGCTTGGATTGAGGGATCGGAGAGCTGTGTTCAAATTCCAAGGCCGAGAGGGGGAACTAGATGTCTGGGCAGCCCTAGTTTTCCATATATCCCACCCAGGCTCATAGCACACCGTTCTACTCTATCGTCTCTCAGGACAGATGGATGCCGCCACCGCCAATACATTTCATCTTCTTACATTTGTCAGACTTTGTTTAATACAATAAATTTAAGATTTTAGATTGAGAAAATAAAAATACTGAGCTGGATATTAGTTGGTTAAATGCATTGCAGTTCAGGATGTCATCACCAAGCTGTATAGTTGTTGAAAATATAACATCACTTTTGAAATGTTGCATCCACCTGAAATTGGGAAAATTTTTCTACTCTTTCATTTTTTTCAATTTATTTTAGATATCTCAGCAGCTGGTTGCACCAATTAATGAAAAAAAATTTTAAAATATACATATAGAATGATATCATGTGACAGTTGTAGAAAAACAATTATTATAAATAAAAGTAAAAGGCCAACCTGCCTATTTTCAAAATAAATTCCATTATGAATTGTTTTAAATGTCAGTGCAACATTGATTACCATATTACAATTTGACTATCGTGTATGATCAGTTTTTTTATGCAAAAATAGGGGTCACACTATACACAGGTAAATTTTTTTTTTCTGAATAGGGGTTAAAATTCATGCAAAAAATATTCAGGGGTTGCATTATACATGAATTCAGCTTATACACAGGTATATATGGTATACAAGCAGGGAAACACAACTTCTTGAGTGGAGAGTTTCCCAGTATGTTCTGGCAGTCATTAGAAGTCAGTTTCAAAATAATTTGCATGAATCTGTTGTCATCTGGGTTTGCAAATGCAGGGCACCTGATTAAAACTGTCAGTGTGCCGAGGCATACTGTGAGAATACGTACACAGATTTGTGCAGATATCATTCTGAGTGCCATCTTGAAACAATTTTCATTAAGCCCAATTAGCTGTCCCTGCTCAGACTTAATATAATCTGCTATTGTGTTTAGTATATTGCTAATAATAGTGTGTTAGTGGTTTCTTTATCTTTTAGTCAGTACATACATTTACTATTTTATTCCTTGAGTTCTGAGGAGTGACAAATGGTAAACTCCCAATTTTTTTTACTTTTGTATTAAATATTTTTTCTCTTGTATTAACTACATATTTTAAATATGTCTGTTATATGCTATTATTAAATTTTGTATCACAAACAAAATTTAAAAGTAAAAATTATTTTTTTTACAGTATGTAAAATTGTAATTGGAAGATTCAGAAAGAAAAAAAAGGAAAGGTTAATTTGTCTTTGTAGTTTTAATACCAATCATTTAGTAAGAAAAAAATTTACTAAATGTCAAGTAGTTTTTATGGTTTGAGATCAAAGAATATAATGTTAAAGATGTTGTCAAGTAAAGTATTTATGATTAGCAATCAATTCATTTCACTCAGTGAAAATTGCAGCCTGTGACCCACAGTTTAAACAAAGAGGGAGATTTTATTTGCCACTTGGCTTTTTTTTGTACTTTTATGGAAGTAGTTAAATGGGTGCAAAAATGTTTGTAAATTTAACACATTTGTGACGTCAAATGCAAGACAATGGCTACAATTTCTGATCTTAAAATTAAAAATCAAGGCCAAATTCAAACAACAAAAGAATTTTCAGTTTTTTTTCATTTTTCTTTTCTTTTTTTTTCTCTGTCACTTTTAACACAGTACACCAAAAGAAACTTAGCATTTAATTTTCAATAATTTACTGAAATGTGATTTTTCTCAATATGGTAAAAACTGAAAATTAGCCATTATCCACATTTTTTTAAATTTTTTTTTCAGTAATCATGAGTGATCATAAGATTCTGCTTGTGGGTCTGGTATGTGTAGATATTGTGAATGTCTGTCAGCAATTCCCTGAAGAAGATACTGATACTGGGTAAGTAACAAAAAATAAATAATAATAAACCATATAATAATTATCAATATGTATTTAATATATATATTTCCTGTTCTATCTGTAGTAGGAATAGTGGTAAACCAACTTAAGTTAGTAAATTTATGAGTGATTACTTCCCTTAGTCAGTTTAATAATCTATACAAATAAAATATTTATCTGCTTTTAGATAGAATTAGTTCCCAAGCAAAATGAACAATTTAATTAATCAGTTTTACTTCAACGTTTCTTAGATTGCATTTCTATTTATTAAACTCTTTCATGAAATTGGACACTGGACAGCAGTCCCAGGTGCAGCAGCACACACACACACACACACAACATAGATGAAAACAAACATGTACAATGTAGAATGCAAAAAAGTAATAATGTTTAAAATATGTTGAAAATTGTCACTATGCAGCAGTGTGCATTTTATGCAGGGCCCAAGAATAAAAGCTGTTCCACAACCATTTTCTTGAACTAAACATTGATTAATACTGTAAAAATCTTTAGATAGATCTTTAGATGAAATACATTTTTTGATCAAGTAAATGTCAGCTTTGATTTAATAATTAATCTTAAACTCTTATAAGATCGTTTGTTCAATTCTGTATATGTTTTAGAAAAGTGCATTTTCAATTTTGTTAACAGGCTCTACCATGAGTGTCACTTAGGCCTTGTATTGGGTAAACAGTAGTTAAAAAAACAAAAAAATATGAAAATTTATACAGCACTCAAGAACACCTTCTTGATTTATATATATATATATATATATATGTGTGTGTGTGTGTTTGTGTCTCTGTGTGAGTGTGTATATATAGATATATTGCAAACCTAAATCAAGAAGGTGTTCTTGAGTGCTGTATAATAAATATATATATATATCAAATATAAATCATATATCAATTCTTCAAGCTGTATAATATATATATATATATATATATATATATATATATATATATATATATATATATATTAAACAATAAAATTCAAAATCACCTCATATGGGGAATAGCCTATTTCTGCAGATGAAGATATCAGTCGTTTCTTTTATCAACCACACTATGGACTGAGTGCATGTCAGAAATAGAAATTTAACTGTAAAAACTTGAAAAAAAAAAAAGCAACCAGTCAAAAAACTAATACAGAATTTATCCATTTTAGCGTTTCATTCAGATGAAAGTCATGAGACAGGTCGGGGGTGGGAGGTGGAAGTTATTTGTCTTAAAGGGAAGTTTTATAAAAATTAAACCCAAATATTAACCTTATGACATTAATTTGGGGTTATATGAAGAATGAAATATTAAATTAAAATTAAAGGAGGAATAAAAAGAAGTTTAAAAATAAATTTAAAATTAATTAATGGAAAGAGAGTTGCAAAGATCTTAGAGTAGGGTAAAGTTTATAAATTAATATAGGTAAAGAGGTTATAAAGGGGGTAAATATAGAAATTAGAATTAGAATTAGTTATATATTCAACATTTGAAGAGTTAGACGGAAGTAAATATTATGGAAATATAGTAGCTAATTAAGTTAAACCTATATTATGGAAACTTGAATTTGTTCTTATGCCAACATTTTAACATTAATTCATTCCTCTGATTTAATAGTTGGCTTTGATTATTGTATTTTATTATTCTAAATTTTTCTTCTAAACATAAGTCACACCTATCTCTAAGACTATTAGGAGTATGTGCAGAACCTATAATCTTCCAAATTATCTGTAGGCTCAAACCTTTCTTCAATTTCCAAAATTTCTTTGAAAGAGCTGTTTGGTATTTTAGTTTAGGGTTAGAAAATGAGTGCCTATGGGTATAAAATATCTGTTTCCATTCCCCTGTGGAAATTTCAATCTAAACATTATAATTTTTCATATTTTCTTCGGGGGAAATGATCACCTGATATATAACCCTGGTAGATTTGCATTTATATATATATATATATATATATATATATATATATATATATATATATATTAATTTATTTATTCTTCTGGTCACTGCAATGACTAATGAAAATGGACAGCAGTCCCCAGATGCACCTGTACACACACAATAAAAGCACACTATTGAATAAAAAGTAATAATGTTGAAAATATTTTGAAAATTGTCAGCATGCAGCAGTGTTCAATTTAAGCAGGATCCAAGGATTAAAGCTGTCACTCAAACACTTTGTCCTAGAACTAAAACATCATCCTGAGAGTGACAGTTTGAGTCAGTGGTACTGGAATATGAGCTGTCTTTCATTAGGTTTTCTGTTGAAACGAGAATTAAAAATGTCTTCTAAGGAAGGCAGGGAGTAGCCAATTATTTTCTGGACAACAATATAATCCGTTACAGGGCTCTTGTCCACTGTCAAGCAGCTGGCATACCAAATAGTGATGCAGTAGGCCTGCACACTCAATAGAGTAGCAGTAAAAAGGCATCAGCAGATTCCTTGTGAATTGTTTTTTCTGAGAATTCTCAGTAAATAGAAGTTGAAATGTGCTGGGCCCATAACCTGTAGAATAATTGGCCAAGGTTAAATGTAAATGGCAGAACTGGCCAACAAACAGAATTGACAAAGTTTGCAATAAACAATAACAAGAGAAAGAAAAGAATAGGGTAAAAATAATACTAAGTAAATAATATATGCAAGACAAAACAACAGTAATAAAGCAAAAACTTCACAAACTAAGAATAGTGCTAACACACAAAAGGGAATAAAGACAAGCAGTGTTCTGACTTCAAGACAAGAAAGACCAGAACTTAGACATATACCTTGAGTTCTTTGATAAAATCCAAATAAGAATCAGCAATATTATCGGCCCTGATCTAGCTGCTCAGGATCAGTCACTTTCCCACAACTGTAAGGTTGCCTCCCTGTGCCTTTTCTGTAAATACTTTCATGGTAATTGTTTGGATGAGCTCTTTGCTATGATACATAGACCTTTTGAATTAAAGTGCAGTACTAGACTGGCATTAAGATCGCATCAATTTACAGCTGAGCTGGCTAGTGATAACCGTAAATATTATGCTGACAGTTTCTTTTCTCGCTTATGGGTCTCTCTTATGGCTCCATGCTTTCCTGTCAACTTTATTCTTTAAATACAATGTCAATCACTATCTACTGTCCTCCTCCTGATTACTCTTCTTTTGTTCTTGCAATGTTTCTAATTCTTCCACACCCAGTAATCCTTTGTGTCTTCGTGGCTTTTACTGCCTTGCATGGGGTGAAATCAGTTAAAACAAAAAAGGTGGATGAGACCAAAAAGTATCTTATCTTATTGGCTAGGACGAAATCCCAGCATGCATCTGTTTGTTTTGTCTATAAATTCTTGGAGGGACATGTTTTTGTAGTCATTCCACTAGATTGGAACAAACAGTTGCTGCTGTGTCACCTTGACTAGTGTGATGCTATTGCTAGTTCAGGAGAGATCCTCTGCACTGCAGTTCCTTTGACTTTAACATGATTAAAGCAAGGGTATTCTCTGAGCTCCATGCAGCCAATTGTTTTTATTGTCTGCCTTATATGAAATTTATTAAAAATTTGTTGCATGTTTGCAGTAATTAATATTTTCTTCATTGGCATTTTCCTTGAGATGCAAATTGTTAGTTATTTTCTCTTTAGTGGTTATGTGCCAGGTCAGTTTAGGCCTGCTGCTGCTGGTAACATGTAACACAGTAACCCCACTAGCTTTTCTGCTGGTGAGGAGGGTGGCATATAATCTCACAGGATGAAAAACGAGACCTGTCAAAGGGCAGATGAACTTTTTATGAGAGTCAATAGTCAACACACACATAATATGTATATGTATTCTGTATATTTAGGTAGTAAATTTTATTTAAGGCAAATATTAAAGACAAAAAACTTTTACAAATTATGAATAATGAGAAAATTCCATAAGAAATTGTCCAAAGTTCATTTTGAAATGACATCCTTGTGACTAGAAAATATAGTAATTTGGTATTTGTTGAAATATACAGTTGTACCTCTTCATCCATGGGAGATAAAATTAAAGCCCCACCTCCAGTTGATGCTTGAAATGGTTGATAGTACTGCACCCTATATTTTTCCCTAAATATACATATCTATTTAACTTAAGATTTAGAAATAATAATAAGAAGAATAACTAATAATAGAATTGTTATAGACAAGCGTATGGTTGCAAGAAAGAAATACGACAACAGCAGAAATAGATTTACGTTATTTATTTCAATAGGAACGTGTGGTTTTGGGACAGCTACCTTGTGGTATAGTTCATAGGCCGGCTGAAGATCTGGGTTGATCTCTCATAGTAGTTCTCGCTGGTTGGCGTGTCGCTACTGCTGCTGACCGCTCAGCCTGACCATGACAGTTCTCTTCCCTGGCCTCCTGTTGACTGCCCGTTGTACTTCCGTGTGACCCCTTTTATGGCGTTTTTTTATGGCTTAACAGGCTCATAAAACAACACGAGTATAATTAGGAGGGAAGCATTTTTATTGGTTGAAAAATAGAAACACTTTAAAATATTATTTTATTTTTCAACTGGAACTCATACGTCGAGAACATGCATAACGAAGATAATGGTTATTTTATGACGGGGCCTTGTCCCATTCACATCCAGCTCTCACTCTTGAGTATGTTACTTCATTTGCCTGTAAATCAGCCGAGATATGTCTTGAAGATTTGTTCTTATCATGGTGTGATGATGCCATTCTGCACAAGCTCTGATGACATCTAAAGTCAGCTGTATGCAAATACACATCATTGCTCACTATGTTTGCAGGTTTATTTTAATATAAGGGCTGTGATCAATGTCAACAAAGAATAAAAACAAATGCTTTTCAAAACACTGATTGGGAAGAAGCAAAAAAAAATACACTTTCTCACTTAATAGGCAATGTGTACCTTTGGCTTTGAGAAAGCAAAATACTCGCATCTCATTAACTTCCGATCATGGAAAAAGGACCCTACACACTTACTTCCTGACCATCTCCTGGCCATTTCACTGACTGTTGTTCCTTTTACTGACCCCTCATTATATCAATCTTGGCTAGGGGATCCACCATGCCTATGTGTTCCCTTGTGTTCCATTAACTGTTAAAGGAAACCACCCAGTCATCTTTTGGGTGGTAAGTTTTTCAAAAGACTCTACTTTTACAGCTATTTAAAATCACTAACAAAATTTTGTTTGTCAATTCAAAGGCAAGTTGGAGAAAGGATTCCTGAAAAATGCTGGTCATTAAATTTACTCAAATATGGGCTGGAGAAAAGATTCCTAAGAAATCCTGGAAATTGACTTAAAAGGAAAAGAATCTATCCATCTATCTATCTACTAAGGATGTGTGAGAAATCATATTGCTACAATGGCATATAATATTTTCTCACTACCTTAACTTGATAACTGTCATCTTTTTACTTGAAGAACATTATGGTTTATCCAAAATGCCAGTATTACTCTTTGGGATTGTTATTTAAGCAAATTTATTGTATTTTTTCTTCTGGGTTTGATCCCAGGAAACAGAAACTGCAGAAATCAAAACCATAGATTGGTGTGACATATTGTAATGTTTTTCACATCGAGTTTATATCATTTAAAACTCCAAACTGAATATTTACTGGAGGCGAGGGTAATTTTAGACCTGCATGTATTTTTTGGGGTTTTTTTTTGGTTTTTAAATATATTTGCTAAGTTTCCCTTTACAATTTGTTTCAATTTCACATTATTAATTTATCTTGATGATAAAACTCTCCTGTGCACTCTGTTCCTGAGAAATTTCTACATCCTTAACACATTTTGATTTTTTGCAGAGTTCTTTACCAAGAATGGAAAAGAGGTGGGAATGCTGCCAACAATGCAACCATACTCTCATTGCTTGGTGTATCTTGTGAGTTTCTGGGAACAATTGCTAACAGCTATGAGAAAGAGTAAGTTGGGAATACTTGATTGGCTAATTTGAAATCTTATTTGCTAATACAATATTATCTGTGTCATAATAACATTTGCATATGCATTTCATGCACGCAACTATTATAAGACAGGGCTAAGAGGTGCTGAACTTTTCTTAGCCTGATCTATTTTTGGTTAGGCTGAGAACTTTTCAGCACTACCTCATATCTAAAAAAAATTCTTCAGAAAGACAACAGAAACAGACATTTTGAAATAAATAAAGAAAAAACTAAAAATAAATTTTTATTTTACCAATAAATTTATTTTTCATTTACATTTGAGCCTAGATTTGCTACAATACTGTGAGAATCTTAGATAAAGCTGTAAAAAACACTTGCTCCAATCCAATAGTAAGTTTTCTTTCTTTGATTTTAGATAATTTTTAATTAGTAGCTTAACTTTCTGGTATCAAACAGTAATTTTCTTCATACTCAATGGTGTAGGAATGTCAGAGAATAAAAGTCCTAACCTTGTCAATCATCCTGGGTACGATGATAAACTACATCTGCATCCTGGGTAAGACAATAAACTACATCTGCATCCTGGGTTAGACAATAAACTATGTCCAACAGCAAGGCCTCTTATAATACGTTTTTGAAAAAATAATGTTGCCAGCTATACGTTTTTGAAAAAAAATAATATTACCAGCTATATGTTTTTGAAAAAAAAAATATTACCAGCTATACGTTTTTGAAAAAATAATATTACCAGATAGAAGTTTTTGAAAAAATATTACCAGCTATACATTTTTGAAAGAATAGTGTTGCTGGGTATACGTTTTTGAAAAAATAATATTACCAGCTATCCATTTTTGAGAAAAAAAAATATTAACAGAAATGGATTTTTGACAAAACAAAAATATTACCAGGAAAAAAAAAAAAGTTGTCGGCATTAAATGCCCTATTGAGGTTGATATGCCACAAAACAAACCAAACCAAACCTTGTCAATTTGCTTCTCATTAAAACTTTTCATTTTTAGGTAATATGCTTTAAATTTTTTGATAAACTTTCTGCTGAAATATCAGAGTTATTGTTCTTGGATATTTATAATGAATGTGAAAATGCTTATGTCCTTATTGTTGCTAAAAGAATTGTCATTGATGATAACAAATATAGCATACTCTTTCCTACTCTTTATAAAAAAAAGATTTTCACAATATCAGGCTAGATGAGATAATCAAAATTTATTGCTAAATATGAATTGATATTAGAAATTTCTTGCACTTGGAGTAAAAATAAATATATTATTATTCCAGTCTAGGAGTTGTTTGGCAACAATCCACATGGATGAATTCAATTTTTTGACTCATTTTCTAATACAGCATTTCTCATCTGGCATGCCTGGGCACACTACCACACCTGAAAGATAGCCAGATGCACCCCAAGTTAAAAGAAGAGTAATTTATGAATTATTTTTATATTTAAAAAAATTCAAATTAAAAATAACTTTTTTCCTTATTAAAATTCAAAGTGCACCTCAGAGTTTTAGTTATTCTACATGTGTACCTGGAAAAAAGAAACACTGCTCTAGTCTACATCTAATGATTGGTTGTCTTCCAAGTAGTACTTTGTAAGTTCATCAGATTTCATAACTAATTTTTTTCCTTATTAAAATTCAAAGTGCACCTCAGACTGTTGGAATTTTAAAAAAGGTTTTAGTCTACATCTAATGACAAAGTTCATCAGATTTCATAACTAATTTTTTCCTTATTAAAATTCAAAGTGCACCTCAAGTTTTGGTTATTCTACATGTGACCTGGAATTTTAAAAAAAGGTTTGAAAAACTGCTCTAGTCTACATCTAATGATTGGTTGTCTTCCAAGTAGTACTTTGTAAGTTCATCAGATTTCATAACTAATTTTTTTCTTATTAAAATTCAAAGTGCACCTCAGAGTTTTAGTTATTCTACATGTGTACCCATTACATCTAATGATTGGTTGTTTCCAAGTAGTACTTTGTAAGTTCATCAGATTTCATAACTAATTTTTTTTTCCTTATTAAAATTCAAAGTGCACCTCAGAGTTTTAGTTATTCTACATGTGTACCTGGAATTTAAAAAAGGTTGAGACTGCTCTAGTCTACATCTAATGATTGGTTGTCTTTTAAGTTCATGATTTCATAACTAATTTTTTCTTATTAAAATTTCTCAGTTTAGTTATTCTACATTGTACCTGGAATTTTTTAAACAATGATTGTTTGTCAGTACTTTGTAAAAAAATTCAAAAGTGCACCTCAGAGTTTTAGTTATTCTACATGTGTACCTGGAATTTTAAAAAAGGTTGAAAAACTGCTCTAGTCTACATCTAATGATTGGTTGTCTTCCAAGTAGTACTTTGTAATTCATCAGATTTCAAATAATTTTTTCCTTATTAAAATTCAAAGTGCACCTCAAAGTTATTCTACATGTGACCTGGAATTTTAAAAAAGGTTGAAAACACTGCTCTAGTCTACATCTAATGATTGGTTGTCTTCCAAGTAACTTTGTAAGTTCATCAGATTTCATAACTAATTTTTTCCATGCACCTCAGAGTTTTAGTTATTCTACATGTGTACCTGGAATTTTTAAAAAGGTTTAGTCTACAATGATTGGTTGTCTTCCAAGTAGTACTTTGTAAGTTCATCAGATTTCATAATTATTAAAACCAAAAAGTGCACCTCAGAGTTTTAGTTATTCTACATGTGTACCTGGAATTTTAAAAAGGTTGAGAAACACTGCTCTACTCTACATCTAATGATTGGTTGTCTTCCAAGTAGTACTTTGTAAGTTCATCAGATTTCATAACTAATTTTTTCCTTATTAAAATTCTACCTCAGAGTTTTAGTTATTCTACCTGGAATTTTAAAAAAGGTTTGAAACACTGCTCTAGTCTACATCTAATGATTGGTTGTCTTCCAAGTAGTACTTTGTAAGTTCATCAGATTTCATAACTAATTTTTTTCCTTATTAAATTCAAAGTGCACCTCAGAGTTTTAGTTATTCTACATGTACCTGGAATTTTAAAAAGGTTCACTGCTCTAGTCTACATCTAATGATTGGTTGTCTTCCAAAACTTTGTAAGTTCATCATTGTTTTAGTTATTCTACATGTGTACCTGGAATTTTAAAAAAAAACACTGCTCTACTCTACATCTAATGATTGGTTGAAGTAGTATTAAGTTCATCAGATTTCATAACTAATTTTTTTCCTTATTAAAATTCAAAAGTGCACCTCAGAGTTTTGATGACAGTCTACATCTAATGATTGGTTGTCTTCCAAAGTAGTTTTCATCAGATTTCATAACTAATTTTTTTTTTATTTTCAAAAGTGCACCTCAGAGTTTTAGTTATTCTACACCTGGAATTTTAAAAAAAGGTTGAGAAACACTGCTCTACTCTACATCTATATTGGTTGTCTTCAAGTAGTACTTTGTAAGTTCATCAGATTTCATAACCTTATTAAAATTCAAAGTGCACCTCAGAGTTTTAGTTATTCTACATGTGTACCTGGAATTTTAAAAAAGGTTGAGAAACCATTTTACATCTAATGATTGGATTTTGTCTTCAAGTAGTACTTTTTAAGTTCATTAATTTTTTTTTTCCTTATTAAAATTCAAATGCACCTCAGAGTTTTAGTTATTCTACATGTATTTTGATTTTAAAAAAATACTTTAGTCACATCAATTTGTCTTCAAGTAGTACTTTGTAAGGATTTCATAACTAATTTTTTCCTTTTAAAATTCAAAGTGCACCTCAGAGTTTTTTATTCTACAAACCTGGAATTTCTTGAGAAAACACTGCTCTAATCTAATGATTGGTTGTCTTCCAAGTAGTACTTTGTAAGTTCATCAGAATAACTAATTTTTTCCTTATTAAAATTCAAAAGTGCACCTTTAGTTATTTACATGTGTACCTGGAATTTTAAAAAAGAAAATTCTACATCTAATGATTAATTTGTCCAAGTAGTACTTTGTAAAATTTCATAATAATTTTTTTTTTATTTTTGCACCTCAGAGTTTTAGTTATTTACATTTACCTGGAATTTTTAAAAAGGTTGAGAAAATGCTCTAGTCTACAAATGATTTTTTTGTCTTCCAAGTAGTACCAACAAGTTCATCAGATTTCATAACTAATTTTTTTTCCTTATTAAAATTGCACCTCAGTTTTAGTTATTCTACATGTGTACCTGGAATTTTAAAAAGGTTTAGAAACACTGCAATAGTCTACATCTAATTATTTTGTAAGTTCATGATTTCATAACTAATTTTTTTTCCTTATTAAAATTCAAAAGTGCACCTCAGAGTTTTAGTTATTCTACATGTGTAGAATTTTAAAAAAGGTTGGACTTCAGTCTACATCTAATGATTGGTTTGTCTTCCAAGTAGTACTAGTTCATCAGATTTCAAATTTTTTCCTTATTAAAATTCAAAGTGCACCTCAGAGTTTTAGTTATTCTACATGTGTACCTGGGAAAATAGTCTACATCTAATGATTGGTTGTCTTAGTACTTTTGTAATCATTATTTAAATAATTTTTTTCCTTATTAAAATTCAAAGTGCACCTCAGAGTTTTTAGTTATTCTACATGTGTTGGAATTTTAAAAAAGGTTCTCTAGTCTACATCTAATGATTGGTTGTCTTCAATAGTAAGTTCATCAGATTTCATAACTAATTTTTTTCCTTATTAAAAATTCAAAACCTCAGGTTTTATTATCATGTGTAAAGGAAACACTGCTCTAGTCTACATCTAATGATTGGTTGTCTTCCAAGTAACTTTGTAAGTTCATCAGATTTCATAACTAATTTTTTCCTTATTAAAATTCAAAGTTTCAGAGTTTTAGTTATTCCTACCTGGAATTTTAAAAAGGTTATTGCTCTAGCTAATTAGGTTTTGTAAGTTCATCAGAGAATTTTTTTTTCCTTATTAAAATTTTCAGCACTACCTGGAATTTTATCTGAAAAAAATTCTTCCAAGTACAAGTTCATCAGATTTCATAATAATTTTCCTTATTAAAATTCAAAAGTGCACCTCAGAGTTTTAGTTATTCTACATGTACCTGGAATTTTAAAAAAAGGTTAAAAAAATGAAATCAGATTTCATAACTAATTTTTTTTCCTTATTAAAATTCAAATTTTAGTTATTCTACATGTGTACCTGGAATTTTAAAAAAGGTTGAGAAACACTGCTCTATTTTAATTTACTTTTGTAAGTTCATCAGATTTCATAACTAACTTATTAAAATTCAAAGTGCACCTCAGAGTTTTAGTTATTCTTGTACCTGAATTTTAAAAATAAAAAACACTGCTAAAGTCTTCTAATGATTGGTTGTCTTCCAAGTAACTTAGTAAGTTCATCAGATTTATAACTTTTTTTTTCCTGTGATTTTAGATGTGTAATTTTAAAAATTGAGAAAACACTGCTCTAGCATCTAAATTGGTTTCTTGGTACTTTGTAAGTTCATCAGATTTCATAAGTAATTTTTTTCCATACCTCAGATGGTGTAGGAATTTTGTCTGCTCTAAATAATGAAAGTTCATCAGATTTCTAATTTTTTTCCTTATTAAAATTCAGTGCACCTCAGAGTTTTAGTTATTCTACATGTGTACCATTTTAAAAAGGATGAGAAAACTGCTCTAGTCTACATCTAATGATTGGTTGTCTTCATCTTTGTAAGTTCATCAGATTTCATAATAAATTTTTTTCCTTATTAAAATTCAAAGTGCACCTCAGAGTTTTAGTTATTCTACATGTGTACCTGGAATTTTTAAAAAGGTTGAGAAACACTGCTCTAGTCTACATCTAATGATTGGTTTGTCTTCAGTACTTTGTAATAATTTTTTTCCTTATTAAAATTCAAAGTGCACCTCAGAGTTTTAGTTATTCTAAACCTGGAATTTTAAAAAAGGTTGAAACACTGCTCTAGTCTACATCTAATGATTGGTTGTCTTCCAAGTAGTACTTTTTGTAAAAATAACTAATTTTTTCCTTATTAAAAATTCAAAGTGCACCTAGTTTTAGTTATTCTACATGTGTACCTGGAATTTTAAAAAAGGTTGAGAAAACTGCTCTAGTCTACATCTAATGATTGGTTGTCTTCCAAGTAGTATGTTCATCAGATTTCATTAATTTTTTCCTTATTAAAATTCAAAGCACCTCAAGTTTACGTTATTTTGTACCTGAAAAAAAAAATATGAGAAACACTGCTCTAGTCTACATCTAATGATTTTTGTCTTCCAAGTAGTACTTTGTAAAAATTTTTTCATAATATTTTTTTACCATTAAAATTCTATATTTTTTGAAAAAAATACATCTAATGATTGGTTGTCTTCCAAGTAGTACTTTGTAAGTTCATCAGATTTTAACTAATTTTTTCCTTATTAAAATTCAAAAGTGCACCTCAGAGTTTTAACCTGGAATTTTAAAAAGGTTGAGAAAACACTGCTCTAGTCTACATCTAATGATTGGTTGTCTTCCAAGTAGTACTTTGTAAGTTCATCAGATTTCATAACTAATTTTTTCCTTATTAAAAAAACCTCAGAGTTTTATTATTCTACATGTGTACCTGGAATTTTAAAAAGGTTTTAGTCTACATCTAATGAAGTACTTTGTAAGTTCATCAGATTTCATTAACTAAATTAAAATTCAAAGTGCACCTTTTGGAGTTTTAAAAAAAAAGGTTGAGAAACACTGCTCTAGTCTACATCTAATGATTGGTTGTCTTCCAAGTTTTGTAAGTTCATCAGAATAACTAAATTAAAATTCAAAGTGCACCTCAGAGTTTTAGTTATTCTACATGTGTGCCTGGAATTTTTAAAAAGGTTTTCCTTATTAAAATTCTACATCTAATGAAAGTACTTTGTAAAAGATTTCTTAACTAATTTTTTTCCTTATTAAAATTAAAACCTCAGAGTTTTAGTTATTCTACATGTTGGAATTTTTAAAAAAGGTTGAGAAAACTGCTCTAGTCTACATCTAATGATTGGTTGTCTTCCAAGTAGTACTTTTGTAAGTTCATCAGATTTCATAACTAATTTTTTCCTTATTAAAATTCAAAGTGCACCTCAGAGTTTTAGTTATTCTACATGTGTACCTGGAATTTAAAAAAGGTTGAGAAACATTTTAAAAAGGTTTGCTCTAACTCTACATCTAATGATTGTTTTTGTCTTCTACATGTGTAGTAAAAAAGTTCACATCTAATGATTTGGATCAGATTTCATTAATTTTTTCCTTATTAAAATTCAAAGTGCACCTCAGAGTTTTAGTTAATGTACCTGGAATTTTAAAATGTTGAGAAACACTGCTCTACTCCAAATCCTTCTTATTAAAAGTAGTAGTTTTGTTATTAAGTTCCTGAAATTTTAATCTAATTTTTTCTTTTCCTTAAAATTAAAATTCAAACTAATTTTTTTGCTTATTAAAACCTCAGAGTTTTAGTTATTCTACATGTGTACCTGGAATTTTAAAAAAGGTTTTGAAACACTGCTCTAGTCTACAAAAGTAGTACTTTGTAAGTTCATCAGATTTCATAACTAATAGAGTTTTTTTTTCCTTATTAAAATTTGCACCTCAGAGTTTTAGTTATTCTACATGTATACCTGGAATTTTAAAAAAGGTTGAGAAACACTGCTCTACTTACATCTAATGATTGGTTGTCTTCCAAGTAGTACTTTGTAAGTTCATCAGATTTCATAACTAATTTTTCCTTATTAAAATTCAAAGTGCACCTCAGAGTTTTTAGTTATTCTACAAAATTTTAAAAAAAGAAACACTGCTCTAGTCTACATCTAATGATTGGTTGTCTTCCAAGTAGTACTTTGTAAGTTCATCAGATTTCATAACTAATTTTTTCCTTATTAAAATTCAAAGTGCACCTCAGAGTTTTAGTTATTCTACATGTGTACCTGAAAACTACTCTACATCTAATGATTGGTTGTCTTCCAAGTAGTACTTTGTAAGTTCATCAGATTTCATAACTAATTTTTTCCTTATTAAAATTCAAAGTGCACCTCAGAGTTTTAGTTATTCTACATGTGTACCTGGAATTTAAAAAAGGTTGAGAAACACTGCTTTTTACATCTAATGATTGGTTGTCTTCCAAGTAGTACTTTGTAAGTTCATCAGATTTCATAACTAATTTTTTTCCTTATTAAAATTCAAAGTGCACCTCAGAGTTTTGTTATTCTACATGTGTACCTGGAATTTTTTGAGAAACACTGCTCTATTCTACATCTAATGATTGGTTGTCTTCAAGTATTACTTTTAAGTTCATCAGATTTTCCTAAGTTTTTTTCTGGAATTTATTAAAATTCAAATGCACCTTCAAGTTAAACCTGGAATTTTGGAAAAAAAGGTTGAGAAACACTGCTTTTTTTACATCTAATGATTGGTTGTCTTCCAAAGTTTTTCATCAGATTTCATAACTAACTAATTTTTTTTCCTTATTAAAATTCAAAGTGCACCTCAGAGTTTTAGTTATTCTACATGTGTACCTGGAATTTTAAAAAAAGGTTGAGAAACACTGCTCTACTCTACATCTAATGATTGGTTGTCTTCCAAGTAGTACTTTGTAAGTTCATCAGATTTCATAACTAATTTTTTTCCTTATTAAAATTCAAAGTGCACCTCAGAGTTTTAGTTATTCTACATGTGTACCTGGAATTTTAAAAAAAGGTTGAGAAACACTGCTCTAGTCTACATCTAATGATTGGTTGTCTTCCAAGTAGTACTTTGTAAGTTCATCAGATTTCATAACTAATTTTTTTCCTTATTAAAATTCAAAGTGCACCTCAGAGTTTTAGTGGAATTTTAAAAGGTTGAGAAACACTGCTCTAGTCTACATCTAATGATTGGTTGTCTTCCAAGTAGTACTTTTGTAAGTTCATCTAATTTTTTTCATAACCTAATTTTTTTCCTTATTAAAATTTCACCTCAGAGTTTTAGTTATTCTACATGTACCTGGAATTTTTAAAAAGGTTGAGAAACACTGCTCTAGTCTACATCTAATGATTGGTTGTCTTCCAAGTAGTACTTTGTAAGTTCATCAGATTTCATAACTAATTTTTTTCCTTATTAAAATTCAAAGTGCACCTCAGAGTTTTAGTTATTCTACATGTGCATCCTGAAGTAAAGGAACTTTGAGGAACATTTCTCCTATGTTTTGTTTGTGGTTTATTTGCTCTGAAGATTTATCTTGGGCCAACTTTTCACTGACATTGAAATACCATTCAAGAAAAAAAAAGTTCATATTGAAATAGAGGTTTGAGAAAATTATTTTCCAGTTTTCTCATTTGTTTTTTTGATTATTATTTAAAATATTATCATTTAAGTATTTAGATCAATCTAGTCTGATTTCTTTTTCAGCAAATTTTTCTTAACAAGCTTAATGTTTGCATTTCTTTTTGTAGATTTCTGCTGGAAGATTTCTCTAAATACAATATTGACATCAGTAACTGCATATTCTATGACAACCATTCAACACCCTTGTCAATTGTAATGATTAACTCTCAGAATGGATCTCGGACAATTCTTCATTCAGGAAAGTAAGTTTACTGAAATGCAGATGATGTATCAAAAATAATTCCTTTTTTTGTACAGACCTTTGTTTATTTCATGTACACATCTAAAGAGTATAACAATTATCATATATTGAATGAACAAATGAGATTAATATTGGATTAATACATGTACTGCAGCTATATCTCTAGTAAAATCTCTGTCAAAATAGCCTGATGGAGCCCATCCCTTTTCCGGCTGGTTTTGAATTCAGAGTTGTCCTTCTAGACTGATTGCTTGTTATTTAACCCATAGTTCAAGGAAGAATGATTGATGCTTTTTCCATATGTATCACATTTAAATAACTCACAAAAGGGTTGATAGCCATAAGAGAACCAAATCAATCAATCATGCCTTTTCCAAGGGCATTAGTACAAAGTGAAGAAAACAAAATTGACTGGAATTTGAACTCTACTTTGTGATTTCACTTTCTGCGTAGATAACCATTATACTATTCACATATCCATTGTTATATGTATCATAACATTATTTAATATATGTATCATATCATTATTAATACCATTCAGCAGATACAAATATTTAGAATCAAGCAATTTTAAGGCATTATTTTAAGTTTAGTTTCAAAGCAACTAGATCTGCTCACAGAATTTGGGAAGTAAAAAGAAATGAAAACATGTCTGATTATACTGCTTCAGAACGGTTTAATCTTGGTGATTTTTTTGTTTTTTTTTACAATGATGCTTAACCTGTACAAGGCTGAAGAGCCACTTGATGTAGAAAGCACCACTCGAAGCAAAGTGATAATGTCATCCAAGATGCAAGAGGCCTGTCATATATGTGACAAATGAGACAAAGAGAAGTAAAACGAATGACAGAAGATCAACTAAGTTTTATAGTAAGCAAAAAAGTGTTTTATTTTAATTTTATTGATTTGGTCATTGTATAAAATGTAAAAAACAAAGGCATACTGGCAAGAAGTTTGAAAATATTTAGAAGTAACTTCAATCAGGAGTTGCTGGGTTTTTGTGGTATAGTTTACTTGTCAGGTCAGCAAATGGTAGTAAACAAACTGCTTTGAAGCAGATTTCTACAACAACTGACTTTGCCAGCCAACTCCCTTAATTTTGGCACTGACCAACGAATATGAATACCCAGATGAAAGACCTCCACTTGTAAGGCCATCTGACCACATCAAAAAGTTTTTTATCTAAATGACCCAGTACTCAGAAGGTTCTTTCATAAAAATAGATTCTCTTAACAGGCCCCCAGAAGAGAAAGAGAAGGAAAAGATTTTAGAAGGAACTAGAAATTCAATCCTAAATAGGAAACAAGGAATAAGCCTTTAAAATAAAGCCCAGAGGTAGGTTACCATCAATTATTGAATCTGGTACTTTAAAAGGCAAGTAAAAAGAGAACTTGACCAACAGCACTTGAAAAATTTCAGATGTGCTTGGATCATCACAAGTTACAATGTGTATAGCATTACATAGGCTTCAAAAAAGCATCTCCCAAATGGATTTTAAAAAAAGACAAAACCAATTTTGATACATATTAATAATTTTGAGGAAACAAACTAAGAATTTACTATAGTCTTATTTTTCTCCTTGTTTTTTTTTACTTTTAATTTTTTTTCAAATTTAAATTGAATGAAATGCTTGGTTATATGGTGCTTAGTATTTTATGAGATAAATCAAAAAGTAACCTGAAACCTTTTTAAACTCTTAATATTTACCTTCCAATCTTTTTTTAGATTTTACCCCTCTCCTTTTTTGAAAATTTGATCAGAGGTTCTGTACTTTTTCAGGTTAAATAGTAAATTATTCTTTCTAATTGCTTTCTGAATTACTAAGATTTTTTTGTCTTTCCTGCTTTCTCTACAGTTAATAATTCTTCTTTATCAAAAAGGTAGATGTCTTTTAGCATCTAACTTGAAGATTGATTCAAGCCTTTTTAGTTCAAGTAAATGATTCTTAAGGCATCTATGCTTTTTTATATATATTTTTGGCCTTTCTATTTTTTTTGCTTTCATTCAAGAGAAACTGGGTCATTCATAAATTTCATCAATATGACAAGATACTGAAAAGATCTCAGCTCAACCAAGGAAAAGTTCAAAAAATAATTTTGTTTTTTGATCATTTGGTCAGATTTTAGGAAGTGTGTTGACCCAAAAACTTTTTAACACTCCCTCATAATGTTGTTAAATTAGAAAATCTTAAAGCTTTAAGATTTTTAAAAAATTATTGCTTAAAACTACTTTTTTCTCTGTCATTCTTCAAGGGAGATTAAAGATTTTTAAAAATTCCTTCCACATCACTTTGTGTATAGGCATTGACATCTCTAAGCAGTTCTGTCTTGGACTTTTCTGATTCTGACTTGGTTCTTTGTCAGTATCAAAGTCCTGGTATCAGATGTTTTACAACCAAATCTGATTCTTTTGTCTTGAAGATTATGGTTTGTATACATAGATTTGACATTTCATGTCCTAGAGTTATAAAAAGAAAATGTCCAAAATTTATATATAGTGTGTCAGAAATACCTCCCACATAATGGTAAGACATAAGCTAAATAAAGACACCATTGCCACTGTGTCATTATGTGGGCAGTATATCTGGGAGATATCTCTGCAGTACTCTCTATTACAAAAGAAACAAACCACATTAAATAAAATATCTTTGAAATGGTTTATTGAAGTGTATATAAAATATTTAATATGCATACAAAACTAACATTCAATTCATGCTTTTCTGTTTAAATGTATAATTTTGAACTGATTCCAATTGTGACAAACAAAACATGCCAGGATTTTGTCAGAAAATATGGTTTACCATACTGATAATATTAAGTTCTTGATAATCACTGAGATAGTTGAAAGTACTTGAACAAAACAGCAAAAAAACATGCAAAAAACATGAACAATTTTATTATTCATAATTTTAATCCTGATATACATTACTCTTTTGAAAATTTGAAAAATATAATAAAAAAAATTAAATACTCAGATATAGGAAAAAGAAGTTGAAAATGCAACTGGAGTCTTTTAAGAATATTTATTTAGAGTAACTTTACCAGTTTCTCAGTTCTATGATTTTCAAAAGTTAAATTGAAATGAAGACAAGTGTGGCTATGCCATCATCAGTTTCACATCTGACTGGAGTTCCTTTTTATGCAGAAAAAAAATGTGGCTGATTGCTATTTTATTAAAATGCAATCTGATTGATTGATTATGATCACGTGATTAGGCATAGTTATTTATGCATCAAAAATTGATGCTCTTAAGATTTTGTTGTCAAAAGTTGGTAGTATCATAGTTCAGCGAGCATGGCTAATGGCTGCACAGTGTTAAGTAGTTCATGGCAACAAGGTGTTAAGTGTCAGGGATTTAGTTTTATTGGGCCTTAGTTACAATCCAAAAAGGTTCAATTTACAAAGATTATATTTGTTTGTTTGTGTGTGTGTGTGTGTGTGTGAAAATAGTTTTAGTGTTTTCTACTTTGTGGAGGATGAGGTGACAGCAAGAAAAAATGGTAATAATAATAATGATGATGATGGTGATGGCAAAATAAACAAGAATTGTACATGAACGTCTGTGTGCTTCTAAATATGTTAAGATTCAGTAGGTAGCCAGGTGCACAATAATTTTTACTTGAGCATGTATAGGGATGTGTAGGGATGGCAGTTTATAGCCTTAACAACAATTATAATATTAATAATAATAATGATAATAATTTCATGAACAAAATGGCTAAGGAAGTTGTGTGTATATGGACAAGGAAGTTATGTGCATGCATTTTCAACTTATTTTCCTAATATATATATATATATATATATATATATATATATATAACTAGCTGCTTCATATTTATAGAACTCATGTTTAAAAGTGTTAAAATTTTGTTAATTGAACATTTTTCCATGATTTTCACATGGGCTATTTTCCTCATCTTTGTTGTTATCCCAATGTTCCAGCTGTTATGCTTTACAGTCTTCAGTCTTTGTTTATCTGGGTTACTCTCAGTGAATTTCAAACTGAACACTTCTATGGGGCTAGGTTTTTCTTATTCCATTGAGCGTGTCCAGGGATATCTCATCTAGCTCTGAATATTCGTAGACATGGTCAATGGAATGTGAACAGTCTAGGGTTCTGTTTGAAATTCCCTGATGATTACCAGGATTGATACGCACCTGTTGAAGGCCCAAAGGGACAATCGCTGAAAAGCTGTGATAACAAAGATAAGGACAATATTCCATGTGTAAATAAGGATAACTCCTCATCCTAGAAATTCAGGTAAAAAATTTTTATTTTCAGAAAACTCCCTTCAGTGACATTCAAAGACTTCCAAAAGGTTGACCTCATTAAGAAACACTATAAATGGATACATTTTGAGGTAAACATTTTACATTTTTTATGTTATTTTAACACTAAATAATCTGAGGAAAATCTAAAAATGGCTCAATTTAAAATTCCAAGAGTGGGAATCAAGCTATCTATGGAACATTGTTTCCTCTGTAGTCAATTTTATCCTGAACAGATGTTCCGCATTTGTGGTCTTTTATCAGGCTTAGCTAGAGAATTACCTAAAAATCACTCAAGTTTTCAGTGTGCTCTGTATAATGGAAGCAAAATAACAAGCAAACAAAACATTCATCACAATGAGTCGAATGTTTGAGCCACAATTGTAGTCTGTTCCATTAAAGGCTTCCTGCGAGCCTTGTTTATACTTGTGTTGTTCACACATATGCCATGCCTTGCATGTAGCCAGTTCAGTCAGTTTGGATGGGCTACCAGTGTTGTACTTACGGACATCCCTCCATATGATATGACCACCTGCCCTACCCGACATGACATGATGGGACCACAAGGTGTTTGGGTTTTGGTCTACTGCAGGGACATCCTTGATACTCATGTGACGTACCCCCATGTCTGTGGGGATAGAGCTCGAGGAGATTGTGATGTTCTCATACTGTGACATGGGCCCTGTATTGGTAGTGGTTGATTAGTTTGGTGTTGGCTTTTATCAAGCTCCATCAATGTGGGGATTTCTATCCTCTCTGAGCCAACTGTGTACTTCACTTCAATCTCCTGTGGTGCGGTACCTGGGCATTTGGGTTGGTTGCGTGTAGGTCACAGTTCTGCATACCGATCTGCACCATTCGTTGGGTTGTTGATATCAGGGTCCAGGCCCTGTTTGATCATCCGATGTATTCAGTATCTGGGGGACAGCCTCTTTTGTGGGGTAGTACAGAGCATCCACGACTAGGAGGAAGCAGCGATTGCACCAAGTCACCTGGTTGCTCCCATCAATCCATGCATAGTATTGCCTATTGCCGAGCACCTCCACAACTCTCCATAGGTATGGACTGGCTTGGTACTGTATCTGAACCTATCCCTCAATCTCTAGCTCCCAAAGGGGGTAAACTGTGTGTGTTATAATACTTTTTATTCCTCATATACCTTTTGGCTATCATTGTCTCCATATACTGGCTGATCTTACCCCAACCATTTATGAATATCACTTGTGTGCAGGCACACACACACACACACACACAACACATATTGGAAATTGAAAAGTTCTCAGCATCACCCATGTCTCAAAATTTGACCAAATGATTGAAAATCAGAATTTTGTGGGGAAGGGGATTTTCTTGGTTGGTCTGAGAACTTTTCAGTACCCACTAAAAGTAAAAATTGACCAAAGTAAGAAAAATAAAATGTTTTTTTATTTACCATCAGTTCTTCAAATTTTCTCTTTTTTTTTTTTTTTTTTTAAAAAATCTATTAGTAATGAACTGCTTAATTGTCTTCAGGCACGACGAGGGAAAGAAAATGCAGTTGCAATCCAACAAATGCTTGAGAAAATAGCTGATCATAATCAGAAAAACAATGCAAGCAACCAAATTCTAACGTCTATTGAACTGGAAAAGGCAGTGCCTGAATTTTGTAAGTAGTTATTTTCTTTTAGTTTTTTTTTATATATTCATCCAAAAATATCTGAAGACTACTTTAGTAGTTATCCACTATATAGGAGCAGAACAAGAGTGCATGGTGTTTTTTTTTTTTTTTTTAAATTAATCTCAAGGATGATATTTAGATGGATTAATACATTTCCCAAATATATTTGTGCAAAGGTAAACATAACAATTTTGTCCAGTATTCAAATTCTCTGATGCACTACCTGAAAATCAAGAAGGATACTTTAATTGTCCATTTATCCATTATCATATATATATAAAAATGGATTTTCCCGTCAGTTTTGACGTATAAGGATCTGACAGCTTAGTTGATTCAGTTATGAAATTTTGTGCGATAATCTTAAGTGGCATTTAAGACCCACTAATGATTTACAAAGGAGGCTACACATGGAGCAAGAGTGAGGATTGTGAGATGTGATCACTGTTAGATTGGTTGACCTTTTAGATCTTGCTCTCACTTGAAGATGATTCAGACAAGCAGATTGAAAACTGCTGAGTCCACTAAAACACATTGATCTCCATTCTACCCGCTCCAAGGCTAAGCACTCAAGGGTGTTATGTGGTATATTGACAGCTGACAAGTTATTTTTCAGCTTGTCTTTGTATCTTTGTTCTCAGTTATCTTGCACATATGAGTGAGTAGCGAAAAATTCTCCACCCTAACAGGAAACTCTACCCAAAAAAAAAATGTGAGTTTGGTCAGTTTTCACACACCCATCTCTCTTTTATATATATATATATATATATATATGCGTGTACATAAAACACATGTAAGTGTACTGAAAATTTCTTGGCATATCCAAGAAGCATTTTTACCCCAAATTCTGATATTTAGATTTAGTCATTTTGAAAGATTTTGGGAAACTAGTTAAGTTTATAACTTTTTAATTCCTCTTTATGCATATGTACATGCATACACATTCACACACACACACACACACACACACACATATATATATATATATAAGTGATCATTGGTCAGGGACGTGTCTGACCAGGGGATGGTTGTATTAAAAAGTGCTCTATACGTAATCCAAAATAATTAAACATGCAGTGTTTTAAATATTAATTAAATAATTCCTAATTTTTTAATATATATATATATAATTATTTTTTATAAAAAAAAAATTTATAACATAAATATGTTATAAAATCACTACAAAAATAGCCATTTTGTTTCAACACCCTCGGTTTCTTATCAAGTGATGATGTTGAATATAAAATAAGTGGTTTTAAAAGTTTCAAATTAATTAATGATCCTTCGTAAGGGGAATCGTTAATTAATTTGAAACTTTTAAAACCATTTATTTTATATTCAACATCATCACTTGATAAGACACCAATGGTGTTGAAACAAAATGGCTATTTTTGTAGTGATTTTATAACATATTTATGTTATAAATTTTTTTTTTTTTTTATAAAAAATAATTATATCTGCTCTACTTTGTATTGAGCACTATTTTAAGAATAGTAATTGTTGGTTATTGGAATTCATTCCGTATACACCAATTATATACTTGGTTATATATATATATATATATATATATATATATATATATATATATATATTACCCTCCAAAAGTATTGGAACGGCAAGGCCAATGTCTTTGTTTTTATTGTTCACAGAAGACATTTGAGTTTAAGAACAAAAGAGTAATATGAGTTAAGAGTTCTGAATTTCAGCTTTTATTTCCTGGTATTTACATTTAGATGTGTAAAACAGCTTAGGACATCTTAAATGATCATTAATATTTTATAGCATCCTGTGTGTTAATGTAGACAGAAATGTATAAAAAAATGGAGAATTTTATGGGATCAAAATGCAATACTTTAAATTGATAATTTTTTTTTTTCCAATCATTTCACCCCAAGCAAAGCAATAAAGCTACTAAAATGCATGCGGTTACTGAGTGTGAAAGAATATGTGACAAAGAAAAACATAATTAAGGAGAGAGAACAACAAAAAAACAGGAATTAAAAAAACAGAAGTTAACAACTGACTTTGCATATACATTTTTGAAGGTCAAAGTTGACTGGCAAGCAAGAAGCCGGAAGAGAGTCCCTCAAGCAATGGTGTAGCTAGAGTGTATGCCACCAAGTGCAGCCCCACTTCCCCTATCTATGGCAACCCACAAAAATACATATTGCACAGTAATCCACTTATATATATATATATATATATATATATATATATATATATATACATATATCCAAATGTAAAAGAACGAAGAGTAAGATTTCAGCATTCAAAATTTTCCTTAAATAATAATTAAATATGATAAAAAAGATGTAAAATGAAACATGAATATTTAGACTTGATCTTTGAATAATAATTTTTAAATAAGAAAGTAATTTTAATGTATTTGTTTTTAAAAAAATGTATAGTCTGTTAGTTATTAAAATTAGGGATAATATTTTAAAACTGAGGGAACCTTTTGAAAAAATCTTTCTTTATAAAATTAAAAATTAAACAGTATAATAAAGATGCGAAAAACTCTCATTAAAAAACCCAGACGACATGCGAAAAACAGATGTCATTATTTGTTGAACAAGCACCTCTACCATACCTTACCATAACCTGATTTTGAAAGTAACTTAGATTTGATACAGAGGTTCTTGATGTAAACGAATACCCTACCACCCCATATTAATAATGATTTAAATTTCCCATAACTTTGGCAACTAATAATATCAAGATTGTTTGTGCTTATAAACCCAGTAAATTTCAAAATAAATTATTCCAGAAATCACTTGAAAATAAATCAGAGATAATGATTTTAAATTTAATTCTATAAATTAAATTAAAGGATTAGTTTCTGTTTTTGAAACCTGGTAATTCCTGTGTAGCGATGGAATCATATTTTTAAATTAGTAAATTTATAATGTTTAAGCTCTACTGAATTGTATTGAGCACTGTTTTTTAAAAATAAAAATAATTAATAAGAACACCGGATCTTACAGTTCTTTCTCATCATTTTTATATATATATATATATATATATATATATATATATATATATATATACACATAAAGAGAAAATACTGTTTGCATAGAACTTATGTTTACATCTAGCCATTTCAACTGTTAAATGATGAGACCTAGCTGCCAATGTAGTCTTTGCTTTTTATGTGCCATGTCCGTTCAGGACGTAAGCAATCATGGCTCTCCACTTCTCCCTATCACTTGTAGCTCTCAATAAGTTTTGTCCCTTTGCTACTTCCCCCAGGCCATGTTCTGTTATCCACTTGCTTAAGCCGGCCAGGTATGTCATGCGTTGCTTTCCCTTGTCTCTCTTTCCCTCTATTCGCCCCGTGTGTATCAGATTCTCTAAGTCCTCCTTTCTCATTTCATTTCCCAGAAATTTCAGCTGCCTCTTCCTGATATTAAGTATAAGCTTCTACCTTGTTTGCATCCTCTTCAAAATCTCATTGTTGCTCACATGCTTGGTCCATAATATCTTTAGCATCCTTCTGTAGAACCATGTCTCCGTTTCTTCGAGGTTCTTCATCTGCCATAAAGGAGGACAGATGTCATGTAGCACCTCATGTAGCACTAATCAAGTATTATATATGCACAAATAAAATTTTTGTATATGAAAATTTTAGCGCACTAATTGAAAATACATTAATCGAATGATGTCTGTATTCTTAATAAAGTAAAAAAAAAGTTCCCTTATTTTAAATATTCTTGGTATTCAAAATTCTTATAACAATTCATACATTTATGTCCACTGTTTTCTGCTGGCAGACATCTTTGTTCTATTATCACCTCTACATACAATCTTTCCTCTTTGGTCCCTAGATTTTATGAATTTAAGCACAATACTGTGTACCTATGTTTTATAGAATATGCAAAAACATTTGACAAAGTATGCCACAAAGATCTGTTGAAACTGCTCAGCAACCTTGATATATTTTGGGAAAGATATTATAGAATAATCAAGAACCTAAACTGGCAACAAATGGCATGCATGCACATAGGGAATGAGTTCAGCAGATATACAAAAATAGAAAGGGGTGTAAGGTAAGGATGTGTCTTCTCACTGGACTTATTCAACCTATATAATGAGGCAATTCTTAGAGAATCGGAAGTCCTACCAGGATTCGTCATTGGCAGCTACAATCTTAACAACATAAGATACACAGATGATACAGTACTCATAGCAGACATGGAAAAGAAATTACAAAACCTCCTACAGAACATAGCAAAAGAGAATGAGAGAAGTGACTAAACATAAACTACAAGAAGACAGAATGCATGGTCATCAGTAAAAGGATGATCCCAAATATGTGATTTACAGGTTGGAGACACCAAAATCAAGCAGGTGTGGAAATTTAAATATCTGAGAAGTGTTTTGACAGAGGGTTGTATTTGCAATGCTAAGATCTGAGGGTGTATTGGGATGGCCAAAGACACATTCCAAAAGCTAGGCAGAGTATTATGAGGATTTCTTTGGTTAATGTCTGCTTCAGTGGAGTGGAAATTCTTTTCAATTTTTAATCTTTTCATTTCTACTCTCTTACTTCTTTAATAATCTACATTCATATTTATAATTGCTTTTGTAATATTTTGTTAAAGTTGTTAAGCTCAAATATTTAACAAGGCAACAGGGTAATTTCCGTAGCTATTTTATAGCTTATTCACTCGTTAACTTACAAATTAAGATTCATAAGAAAATTCAAATGGAAAAAACATTAAATTTTTATGGGTATTTCTAGTAATATAATCATAGCTTTTATAGTGATAATATAAATTATTAAAATGATTCTATAATCTTTTTTTGGTTAAAATAAATATTACACTTTTAAATCTTGTTCATTGTTTTTAAAACGTCTAAAATCTATTTGTTAGATTTTCTGTAAAGATGAGTGTTAGTGAAACTTTAATTGTGCAAAATGGTTTGTGGATTGATGAACTTCTGAGGTCACCATTACCAAACATTTGAAATATGAACAAAATTAGTCACACTGTAGGAAAATCAGTCATTCAGGTGTTTTATATTAAAATCCTGAACATCCATATATCAAACAATAATAAAAATAAAGAAAACAAGGGTATGCCTGTTAAATAAATCATTTGTATTTACAAACATATGTACATGAATTCAAAAGTGTCAAACATTATTAAAAATTGTCTTTAGTTGAGTTAAAGTCTTTGGGTAGTTGATTCACAGAAAAGGCTCTAGTTTAGAAAAGACTTGTATCATTAGCGAAGATTCACTGAACATCTTTTTGTTGTTGGAGATGGTTCATTTGAAGTCATTGACACATGTTTCTTTGAGCACATGTTGGGAGGGAGAAAGAAAAAAGCTATGTATCCAGGTCTTCTCTTTGGCTTGGAGACAGTTGCATCTCTACTCTTTGAAAGTTGAAATCTGTGGGGTTTTATAAGAAATTTTTCCCAAAAGTACGCTCAAGAAAAATAGTTTTATTTTTCTATGATTGGTCAAATATTTCACTTGGTGATGTTAATTTCTAACCAAGATGCACTTTGATTTAAGTGGTATGTGTTGTATTGTAGAATCTTTTTGGCTTGTATGTAATTTTGTATGTCATTGGGTATAAAGTTTGGGCATGTTTTAATATGGTATGTATGTGTGTATGTAATTGTGTTGGAAATAGTTTATTTCCTATAACACTTATAATTATACCCTTTTTATTTCCAAAAGTTATTTTCATCATTTAAATAGATTTACATATTTCTATATTTACAGCCATTCTTATGAACTTGTCTGACTATGTTATTGTGGGCAAGGATTATTCACAATATCATGGCTACAGCTCAATGGAAGAGGCTATTATGGGATTTGGACCAAAATGTCGCCCTGGGTAAGTAGTTATTTGTTTAAGTTTCCTCTCTCCAAGCCAAATATTAATACCAACATTTCATGCATATTTTTCTTTTATTAGAATTTGTATTCTGCATTTTATTGCATTGATTGCTAAATATTAGAGCAAATCTGAAATCAGAATTTTTCTTGCTCCAATTGAAGAAAATATAAAATCTGAAAAGACCTCAGCTTTTAAGTATTTGTAAATATTTACTAAACTTAACCAAATATGTCTCCAGTACTACAACAAGGGGTCATTTGGTGTTGTTGAATTTCTAAATAATGGATTAGAACAGCAGTTGCCAGAATTTTTTCAATTCGTGTGTCATAAGTATATAAGGATTTTTTATCCAGGTTCCAATATGTCAGAAAATACTGAACAATTTACTTTTCAAAATTCAAATGGTTATCATCATATTTCTAGTCAAATTTCTTGACTTTCCATTACTCCATACTTATTAATGTTTTTTTAAAAAACTTTCCCATTAGTTGAAAGACAATGATGACAACTTAAAAATACCTCATTTAAAAAGAATTTTAAATCATAATATTAGCTTACTAATATCAAATAAACTAGTTCTAGTGCTAGACAATTTTTAATTCAAGAATCTATCTTACATATCTATATGTATACCATTTGCCCATGTTTAGAATATTGTCACATGTGGTCCAGTTCTCCTGCTAAATATTTAGAGATCATTGATAAAATCCAAAGAAGAATCAGCAATATTATTATTAATGAATAGGAGGAAATTTCCTGAATATTTAATAAAAGGAGTGGTTGTTATAAAGATGTCCTGGGTAAATTTTTCTCCAAAAAAATTATTAGCCTGACTCATCTATTTGAAAATTAAAAGAAAACTCATAATTTGATCTTTTCAAAGTTCCTCATCATTATGGCCTTATGCCAGACTTGTGAAAATATCAGAGACCAGTAGCTGTGGAGCACTGCTTAGGAAGTTAATATCTTAAGCTAATTTTTTTTAAGAAAAAGAATATTTGTCCTGACCCATCTATTTGAAATTCAAAGGTATATAACTCACCTATGAAAAAATTCTTAGCAAGACTCTTTATTAGATATCTAATAACTTTTTAGATTTATCTAGTACAGTGTAGCCCATACTAAAGATTGAATTAATTACTAATGGTTTGCAAGACAAATAATTTACATCAAATACTCTTTAGTTATTTACTAATTTTAGCTTTGTAGTAAATTGTGAGATTCTAATTCACTTAGAATCACCTGCAAACATATCACCCACCAGCAGTGGATGTTACGCTTAATTAAAGTATCATCACAATGGCTGATGGAAAAAATACAGAGAAATTAAAAGCAAGAAAATGACTGTAATTAGCACTTAGCAATTCTTCTTTTTTTGTCAGTTTATACATAATAATTTCTCAGAAACTTGACTGGAATAAAAATTGCTTTGTTCTCTAAATTAGCCATTTTAATGGTGTTGTGCTATCAAAAATTACTCTGCAGTGTGCCATTTTTGCTTTGTTACACTATCAAACACATATGTACTGAAATCAGATCCTTATATAAATTATTATTATTATTGATATCCTGTTCAGTGCAATAATTTCATTATAATACAAAATAACAACATTGAATCGTAAACATTAATTCAATTTCCTTGATGTCTATGCACAAACTTATTTAATATTGTGTATTATTTCACATTTATCCTTTGTCTTTTGTAGTTCTGCTCTGATATGTACGTGGGGTGCTCAAGGTGCAATGTGTCGGCATGGGGATGGTACCACTCACAAAAGTCCTGCAGTTCCTCCAAACAAGCTTTTAGACACTCTTGGAGCTGGAGACACATTTACTGCGGGTACCATTTATTATCTTTATAGAGGACATGGGTTGAATGAAGCAGTTGATTTTGGCTGTCGACTGGCAGGTGCAAAGTGTGGAATCATGGGATATGATGAGCTGAAAAACTTCAAAGAATAAAAGAAAAAAATCATTGAATTTTAAAATAATATTCATGTATGGTTGTAATAATATATATATATATATATATATATATATATATATATATGTGTGTGTGTGTGTGTGTATATAGTAAATATTTTTAAATTTATTTAAATATGATTTTATATGTTTTAGTGCTTGATGTCTCTAATATTTTTAATAGCAGACATAAACTCTCGTAAAATGACCTAAGGCAGGTTTTATTTTTCCATATAATATTTATGAAAAAAATATATCTTCAAAAATGACTTAACTTGAAACAATTTAAGCTGAGGTATTACTGTGTATGTGTGTGTATATATAATTGTGTGTGTGTGCATATATATATATATATATATATATATATATATATATATAAATATATATATATATATATATATATATATATATATATATATATATTTGGGTGTGTGTATATATGTGTGTGTATATATATATATATATATATATATATGTGTGTGTGTGTGTTTGTCATTTACTGACTTTATTTGGATTGATTATTTTTACTTATTTTTTCTTATTTATTTTATTTTTATTTATTCTTTTTCATTTATTCTAACGGGAGTAGTTTGTTAATTTGTTTATCATTTGCTTGGGTTAATTTATTTTACTAATTTTTTATTATTATTTTACTAATTTTTTATTATTATTTTGTTTATTTTTATTCATTCTTTTTAATTTTTAAGTAATGTAGTAAAAATTTGTTTTCATGTCTGCATTTTGAGATGAGTTCAAATTGTTTATTTAGTAGTTTATTTTGCTCTGGGAGGGTAATAATAGCTATTTTTTTTCCTCCAAGCAAAGTCTGTAGGTTTTGGATTGATTGTTGTAGGCTGATCATCTTTTCCTTATTTTCCATGATATTTTTAGTGTGATTTGCTTTTTGTTTTTAATTTCCCAGATATGCTTAGAAAGCATTGTGCTGTTCACATATTTACAATTTGTGAAAGATGTTTTGTGTGCACAGTTTCTTTGTTTCCAGGGTCCTTCAGTTACTCCTATGCATATTTTTCCATTATCTTATGATTTTACTATGGATTGCTATATTACATTGTTTTATAAGCAATTACCATTTAAGGGACATTCATTCTTTATTCTGCAGTTACATGTGGGTTTAATTTGTTCAGATGGTTTGTTGATAGTTTTCTTGTTGTGCTTTTTTATTATTTGTATCATGTTCTTGGTGCAACTGTAGCTGATTTTTACTGTGTTTTTGTTGAATATTTTGTATAGAGTGCTTGATTCTGGGAAATGTTTGTGTAAAAGTTTGAAGAATATTTTTCCTACATCTGTTTTTACATTTTTGCTGTATGGTGTGTTGAATCATATGATATTTCTCTTCCTGTTGGCTTTTTTTGTTCTCTGTGGTGAGTATGTGAGTGTTGCTGAGAATCCACTATCTTTTAGGGCTGTTTCCTAGTCTTTCTTCACTTCATTAAATATGATTTCATTGGAAGAATTGTCAGAAATCCTGCAGTTAATTGATTTTGGTATCTGTTTAATTGTAGAAGGCAGGTGATTGGAAGATGTGTGTATATATATGTATTGGGTTTTCTGTATGGTTTATGTGTGGTTTTTCTTAGGTTGAAAGTAACATCCAGAAAATTTATTTCATTTAGGTTAGTTTTTAAGTCTATCGAATCTGTTATTTTTGAAAATCTTTCTTATTGCTTTTCTAGCTTTGTCTGTGTTTTGTTTGTTATAGTTTCTTAAGATTATGAGACTGTCATCCCTGTAGAGTCCTGTATCATTTCTATTCTATCTATTTTGCTTAGTTTGTGTAGTTAATATATACCTATAATTTTGCAATCTGCACCATCAAAGCTTCCCATTGTAGTGTCACAGATCCCTTCTTTCTTTATCCATGCATCTTCACTGTGGAATAGTAGTGATTTAAAGGAGTGTTTAATGATCTCAATTTTGTTTGTGTTTATTTTTATTTGTTCTGGACTAAGGTGATGGCCTTATCTAGCATGGGTTCTGTTATGGATGGGTAAAATTCTTTTATGTCTAATTGTATAAATTGGCAGTTATGTTTGTTATTTATGTTGTGGAACAAGTCAGTAGTTGCATTTGTGTTTTTTCCACTTGTTTACTCCTAACTTCTTCCTTAGTTCAGAATTGATTCTTTCTGCTATCGTTTTACTTATTTTACCTTGTTCACTTTTGGTTGGGTTTATAAGTCTGCATGTTGGGTTGGTTTTGAAATTTTCTTTATGGTCTTTTAGTGCGATAAAGGCTTACACCTTTCTGATGCAACTTATTCTGTCATTTAGGTCTAATTTTTGGGTGATTGCTTTAGCTTCCTTATTGATATCATGTTCTATTTTTTCGAAAAAAACTATCAACAAACCACCCAAATAAATTAAACCCACGTGTAACTGCAGAATAGAGAATGGCTGTCCCTTAAACGGTGATTGCTTACAAAACAACATAATATACCAAGCTACAGTAAAATCATCAGATAATGAAGAAAAAATATACATAGGAGTAACTGAAGAACCCTGGAAACAAACTATGCATGCAAAACATCTTTCACAAATAGTAAATATGAGAACAGCACTTGCTTTCTAAGTATATCTGGGAAATTAAGAACAAAATGCAAATCCCACCAAAAATATCATGGAAAATAAGGAAAAGATCATCAGCCTGCAGCAATCAGTCCAAAACCTGCAAACTTTGCTTGAAGAACAAAATAGCTATTATTACCTTCCCAGACCAAAACTACTAAATAAACAATCTGAACTCCTTTCAAAATGCAGACATGAACACAAATTTTTACTATGTTACTTAAAAATTGAAAACCAAAAAGAATAAATAAAAATAACCAAAATAATAAAAAAGAAATAAAATAAATTAACCTAAGCAAATAATAAGCAAATTAACAAACCACTCCCGTTAGAATAGACAAAAAAGAATAGATAAAAATAAAAAATAAATAAGAAGAACAAGTAAATATAATCAATCCAAATAAAGTAAATAAATAATAAACATATTAACAAACAAATCCTGCCAAAATAAGCATTAGAATAGACTACAACTATCAATCCAAAAATTGGATGAAAAAAATAGCTATAACTGCTATATAAAGGATTCCAAAAAAAATTTTACTACGTTACTTAAAAATTGAAAACTGAAAAGAATAAATAAAAATATACAAAAAAAAAGTAAATATGAAAAAAAAAGTAAAATAAATTAATCCAAATAAATAAATTAACAAACCACTCCTGCTAAAATAAGCATTACAATAAATAAAAATAAAAAATAAATAAGCAAAAGCAAGTAAAAATAATCAATCCAAATAAATAAGTAAAATAATAAACAAATTAAAAAAACTGTCTCCTGTCAAAATTACACTTAAAATAGACTACAGCAATCAATCCAAAAATTGGACAAAAAAATAGCTTTAATTACCTTCCCAGACCAAAACAAACTATTAAATAAATGATCTAAACTAATCTCAAAATTTTTACTATGTTACTAAAACATTGAAAACTGAAAAGAATATATAAAATAAAAAACGAAAATAAAAATAAATAAAAAAAAAACAAGTAAAATTAACCCAAATAAATAAAGCACTCCTGTCAAAATACCCGTCAGAATGGACTACCCACAATGTACCACTGACCCATATATATATAAATAGTCAGGGAAAAAAACTGAACACACATGGCCTGACAATTGCATTTTGCATGAAACCACCTGTCACCTCTGAGTGTTGACTTCAATGTTCACTTTTATATAAATGTGTATATATATATATATATATATATATATATATATATATAGGCGCATGTCCAAATGGTTAGAACGTTCACTTTCTGACCATGAATCTTATCACCAGTCCAAGAAAGACATTTGAATCACTACCCTGCCAAAAATTCATTTTTATAATATGTGGAAATATCTACTCTTTGTTTGAAGAAAGTCATGAAACCAGAAATGCATGTAGCAGAATTATGGAAAATAGAGTATAGTATATGTTTTGAAATGAAAAAAAATCCACATTTCAACCAAAAAAGTTTGTCATTTATCTTTTTAAAATATACACTTTTCTCTTGTTGGAGAAACTTCTCTCTCTTCTCTCTCGCTCTACACACACACACACACATATATATATATATATATATAATTTGCAGATGGCAGCATTGTCTATGATAAACATGAAGCGAAAAACTGTTGTTTGCCAATTTTATTAAGAAAAGACAGAAAAAAGAAATGAAAGAAGAGATAGCTCATAGCAGTAAATAATGATCAAGACGTCATTATTTACTGCTATGAAGGAAATGACCATGAACTGTTGCCGTTGCTATGATACGTCTACAATAGATAAGTGAATACTAATTAACCTTCCACCCTTATGCACTTCTTTTTATTCTCTTGCATATACATATGAATCCGAAACATTGTGTTTTGCACACATATTGCTACAGATAAATGTTGTCCTAAATTGTTTTCTTTTCATGATGAACCCTTTGTTTCATTCATGTTTGTTTTCGCAGTTAAGCAAATAAATATTATTTCATTGTCTTTTGGCCCATTCGTCATTCTTGTTGCTTCCAAAGTTTCAGCCTCAACAAATGTGTGTGTGTGTGTGTGTGTATATATATATATATATATATATATAATCTGTGAGACAAATGACTGTATACATACTGGAAAACTTCTGTAAATAATTAATGATGTATGCTTTTCTCAGATTGATCCACATTTTGTGGGTGGAGAATAAGCATTTTGAATGCAGCCTGAGAGGATGTGGCTTCTTTCTCTGACTTTCAGAGACTCTTGTTTACAGACCTTTAGAAATGGACTCCTTTTTTTGACCCATGCTACTCTGGTGGTCCTATATATCAATGTATGTGTTGTTAAATAGGAAACAAATGCAAATCTTATCTCTGCCCATAGTCTATCAGCCAGCCAGACTAGTTCTTCAAGTTCATGGAAAGAGTAAACAATAAAGGAATTCTTTTAACCCACACTGATTTTGAGGACACTTGGCTTTTATGGCTAAGAGTAAGGCAAATAATTTTCACACTGCTAATGAGATTTTTGAAGCCACCACCTTTTTATGCCAGCTAATACACCACACAGACATCCATACATATTCATGCATATGCATATATATATATATATATATGTATATATATATATAACATATTTAAAGTTTTTTTTTAGAAATAGAAAGACACTCACTCGAATTCCAGCAGTGCTCAGCACGTGAAGGCACTGTATAAATGCTCCTATTATATCCAAAACAACACAAAAAAACATCTTAAACTGTCACCACTTGAAGAGAAATTAACAACACCTAAACAAACCTCCTTAAAAATGGTTAAAGAAGTGACCGAAATGATTTAGGACAATTTTTGCACTCCATTACTTCCACCAAATGGAAATATGGAAAGAACACTGGAAAAACTAAATAAAAAAATTAATTAAATTTCCCTTGTTTGTCATATTTAACAAAAGATGTTTGCTTCCCCAATATATATATATATATATATATATATATATATATATATACGCACACACACATACAGAGTCTACCCAAAAAATGTATACACACGTCAAGAAAGGAAAAACTTGTCTTTCGTAATATTATCAAACTGTGATATGACTGTTTACTGTAATATTTTCTCAACAGATGCCATTACCCTCATGGTTGTAGCATTAACAACTCATAAAGGATGTAGTGTATTGCAGAAAACCAACTACATTGGTGGCTCTTAGACAAGAAATTGGAAATGCATGTGTAGCAACCCCAGTGTTACACAAGCATTAGTTTGCCATCATTTTGAGCATCTCTTGTCCAAAGGTAACTTGTATTAATCTGATTGTATTAAAATGATGTCTGAATAAATTTAGTATTACAATATCTAGACAAGTTTTTCCTTTCCTGAAGTGTGTGTGTGTGTGTGTGTGTGTGTGTGTGTGTGTGTATATATATATATATATATATATATATATATATATATATATATGTGTGTATATATATATAGAGAGAGAGAGAGACACGTGTGTGCAGTATAAGTAAAACATGAAATGTAATTAAAACTGTTTAATTAAAAGAGAGCATTTACTCTAATAAGTTGTATCCATAAAAATAACATATAACCAGAAAATATATTAAAATATTTGTCAGATTTAATCCATTTCATGTAAGGTATTGTCATTGCTACATTTCAGAGTAGAAAGGTTATAATGAGAAAGATTGTTGAATATGTTTGTTTATAAGCAGTAATTTGAACTTTGCTAACTGAAAAGTTCTCTGTGACTGAATGATTAACGGCATGTGAGGCAATATGATGGTTTCTGTAAGGGATACAGGTTCGATTCTGATTGGAGAACATATATTTTCTAAAAATATTTCTGGAACATTCAGGGTAAATGTAATTAATACTGTTTAATTAAAACAGAGCATTTACTCAACTAATTCTAATCTATAAAAATAATGTATAGTGATTTTCTGTAGTAATTGCTTTAGCAAGACAAACTTGCTAACCATTACACCACCTCAAGGTGCCCTATAATTAAAAAAATATATATAATAAGAATATATATATATATATATACACGTATGTATGTACACACACCAGGCGTAACAGCATAATTGCTATGTTTAATATCTAAAAAAAAAAAAACTAATTGAGTATTTTTCCACGTTTTCAGATACGGTGTTTAGCCATTTTGATACCATTTGTTGGAACAATCATTGAAAAACCGTTTGAGCTAGAAAGAAAAATCATTTTGTGTTAGCCCCGCTGTCTTCCCAAATGAGAAATGGTGGGAGAAAAAAGGTCATTCAGGTATTCAGTAATGGTTCCAACATTTTCAAAGTCAGTTCAAGAACTATCAAGAGAATGGTGAATAAGTTTAAAATGAGGGAACAGCAGAGAGGAAAACTGGATCAGGAGGTCACAACAGGAAGAGGGATCATCATTTCAACTTAGAGAAAAAGAGATTAATTAGAAAAGATCCAATTCAGTCCATAAGAAGTTTGGCATGTGAGAGAGGAGTTTCAGTCATGACAGTCCAAAGAGCAGTGAAAAAGAGTTCCTTGTTCTCTCTTCTCGCCACTGGACGTGTGGCCACGTTTTTAGCACTTGGATTCAGAGTGTGATGCTCCTTGCAAGTGTGAACTGGCCTCCAATGCTTGCAGCTTAATGATAGAACCATGATCAGATGGATCTGTAACATCAAACCCATTGGATGTGGTCATTATATGATTAGTTGTTAGTATGAGTTTCTGAGAGAGAGAAAGCTTTGCTGGTATGGACATGTGAAGTATTCCGGTGGTGCTATCAACTGTCCCTGTGACTTTCAGGTTAAAGGAAAACAAACACCTGGGAGGCCTAAGATGTCATGGAGGGAGCTAACAGAATGTGATCACAGAGAATGGAAGCTATCTGCAGTTGACCCTCATGATAGATGCATTTCAAGATCTGGAGTAAGAATTGCCATGCATGCAGCTAGCCAGTTACCTGGAAGGGGACCCACTGATGTGAACAAAGCTCCCACAACTGCACAATAAACAAAAACAATTGATAAAGAAGAGAAGGAAGATATATATATATATATATCCATACACACATGTATATATATATATATATATATATATATATATATTAAGAAATGGACAAAGTCCAACAATTTATTTATTAAAGACATTTTTATATTTAACGTTCTTTTTTATAGATACAAGTATTTAAGTAAATGCTCTGTTTATAATAAACAGTATTAAATAACATTTACCGGCCTGAATGTCCGAGAAATTTTCATAGAAAATATTCGTCCTTTGACAGGATTCGAACCTGCATCCTATACGGAACCGTCATTTACGCTGGCGTGCCTTACCGTCTCGGCCACAAAGGAGCGTTCGGTAGGCAATGGTAGTTTATAAGCAGTAAATTCGTTGTGATATCTGTTCCATTGTTAGATAGAGTATATTCGAGATATACCAGGTTATAAATTTACCCATTCCCTACCCCAGAAGAGATCAAGGTTTGGGAATGATAGCAAGGTACAAGGTGGAAACAGAATACATAGCTTTAAATGAAGGGAGAACGAAATTCATGTTGTTAACAGCTGAAGAAGCTAGGAAGTGTAGAGATGATGCTCTAGGGACTTGTACCTCGTTAAGCCCTATCTATAAAACTGGTAACCATAAAATGTGCATACTAGAATTGTTTGAAGGAAGAGAGAAGGAATTAAGAGAACCTGCCAAGTGGAGGTATTAGCAAAACACGGCATTACCACAAGCTATCAGTGTTTCAGACGGGGTGTGGGCAGTAGCCACACAGAAACCTATCAGCTTGTCTAGGGTATGTGGGGGAGAGTCCACAAGGACATTAAGAGTAAGGCTACCATTATCCCTGTTAAAGTTACCCATGGGATGTTCGGCATTTGGGATATCTATTTCCTTACCCCCTATTACCAGGAAGAAGAAAGATATGAAGAAAAGATTCAATCATAGAAATGATTGGCAGAGGCTTAATCAATTGTACAGAATTGTGGGGAGCCAATAGTGAAGGGATTCTCTAATGTTACCTTGAATAAAATGCCAGTACTAATGAAGCCGATAGAAAAGATCGATATGGATCAATTGAGGGACAAGTTAAGTGCGTTGGGAAATGAAGGTGTGGCTTGGGAAGACGATGAGCAGATCGCGATAAGTTGGTCAATAGTGATGGGTACATTCATAGTTATAGCCATCGGGGGTATAGTAATATGGAAGATTAAGAGTAAGAGGAGATTGGCGAACGACAATCCAATGAGCATGCAGCAACTCGAGAGGGAGATGCCGAGCAGTGTTCCTTACTCATACGGAATTGGCGAAGAAATTGCAGAAAGACCAGCAGAGGAGGCTGGCGTGAGACTGCCACGTGCGGCGGAAAAAACCTCCCACAGCGGAGAAGAAAACATTGACTAAGAAAAACAAGCCATAGTAACCACATCTGCACCCACAGGCACACGCACACATTACATTACATACAGAACAGAAGAACTTGAAAAAGAACATTACACTTGCATGTAAAACAGAAGAAGATGAAAAAGAACATTACACTTGCATGTAAAACAGAAGAAGATGAGAAAGAACATTACACTTGCATGTACAACAGAAGAAGAAGAAAAAGAACATTACATTTGCATGTAGAACAGAAGAACTTGAAAAAGAACATTACATTGCATGTAGAACAGAAGAAGATGAAAAGAACATTACATTGCATGTAGAACAAAAGAAGTTGAAAGAGAACATTACATTGGATGTAGGAAAGTAGTATAGAATTGCATGGGACAAATGCATGATGCATGTTAAATGGTGTATTTGGGTTTAGGTGTCATTTACGGGTAAATGACAAATCGGTTAGGGGAGGATTGTGGCACCATTTACGAGGCAGAAAAGGAAAAGAAAGAAAAGAAGGCAGAAAGAAAGGCGAGACGAATCGTGGGTGATAAGCAGACACACACACGGCTAAGAGACAATGAATATATTGATAAGTAACCATGGCAAAAGGGTGTCATTACAATGACAGGGAAATTCTGAGTAAAAAAGAAAGGGAAAGAAAGAAAGAAACAGATGTGTTTTGATAACGGCTGTGTTATCTAGGCTGGCCAACGAAAAATTCAATTGAAAACGTTAATTTTGATAATTGACAAAACACAGGTGTAACGACAGGACTTTGGGTAGATATGAAAAATTAAAAGCCACCCAAGCCGTGTCCGCTGACCGAATTTTTTTCGACGAAACAACTTTGGCCTGCAATAATAAAATTATGTTATCAGAAATATGTACCGAAGGAAAGTGAATGGGAACCCAGAAGTGTTTTTTCTTCTTCCTTGGAGGTGACAAACTGACTGAAAACTTTAGAGATATTTCTTTTTTGAGGCCGTGTTAAGAAGACCACCCATTCTGAATTAGCGATAAATTACCTGACAAAAGCCACGTGTAGAACAAGAGTTGTCATATTGTCCGTTAGCGGCTAGAAAAATGATAACGGCGATTAAAGCGGAAGAAAAGGGAAAGAGAAGAGATAATTTCTTAGTTAAGCAAGATATTTTTTTTCTTTTTTTCCGAAACAAAGCCGCGGATTCGTTCACGCCCGACTAAAACATCATTGGTCAAGTGGTGATCATGTGACACACGAAGGAGGAGGAAAGATACCCGACTAAGACCTCATTGGCCGAGTGGTGATCCCGTGACGCACGAAGAAGGCTGTCGACGCCTCATTCTAGAGTATAAGTATGAGAATCTGCTACGAGGAAGTGGGGAGGGCAGTTCACGCCCCTCAGAAGTATGGTGAGAAAGTGGGAGTGAGGAAAGGTTCCCAAAAATGGAAAAAAATGGAAAATCCCTAACCAGAAATAAAAGAGGTGGATATGTATTTAGAATTATCGTGGAACCCCCGACGCCAACAGACCCACCCCGGTTTTGGTTGGCGTCAATAAAAGCGAGGCCCCAACAGGCAGAAATCAGTTCGGGCTCCAGCGGAGAGTTGAGTTTCCAGAGTTGAAGCCGCCTCGCAGATAGCTGACCAAGATTCACGCAAATTCCAGACTCCTCTTCAGCCAAGAACAATTATTTTGAAGAGCGACTTAGATCCAGACCACCGAAATAAGTTTTTTTTCGACTTTCGTCCAAAGACACACCGAAACACCAATTTCTTAGAGAGCAAACAACTTGAAGCATTAAAACTTGCCTAACGGAAAATGACGTGTCACAATCCATAGAA